GACAGGAAGACACCCATCAGAGAATGAGAGTGACTACAACACGGTTTGTCAGAATAGCCATCTCATGATTTCTAGATGACACATCAAAAACCTTTATTGATTCAGGATCATCAGAAACCTTTTTAGAGCGTAGGGAGCACGACGGTAATAATAATTAAGAAACCTGCACACATAAAATGCTTTCATACATGGTAACATTTAGCTATCTTTTACATCCTTGCTGCTACCTTGCTATTTTAAAAAAAATACTTATTTCATTTTTATTTTTAAGGATATTATCAATGAATATATAGGGGGGTTTGTTGTTTTGGGGGGTAATTAGGTTTTACTTATTTATCTGTTTATTTATTTGTTTGAGGTACTGGGGATTGAACCCAGGACACACTGCATGCTAAGCAGGGGGCTCTACCAATTAGCCATACCCACCCCACTACCTTGCTATTTTAACGTATGTTCTTTTGTTCACATGTTTACGTGATTGTTTCCTTCCACAAAATGGGACTGGAAGTTTTCACTCTTGCATCATTAGACATGTTACTAAAATTCTCCTAAGGATTCCATGTGCAAATCATCCTCCCCAAAGATCAAAATATGCCTACCCAACCATTGCTAAAAAGACACTAAATGTCCACACACCAAAAAAATTACAAGTAAAGCAATCTTCTTGCACTTCACTTCATGCGGAGTTAAGCTATTAGAATAGATGTTGTGACGGCCAATGTTTGGTCACTGATGAGAGGGAGAATCATCACAACAGTCATGCTCCTAGTGAAGGAAAAGCTGCCCCTTGAAATCAAGGCTTACCAGGCACTGTGCTCCTCCAGGCTTTTAAAAAGAATTTACAAGGAGATTAAAAAGACACATTAGAAAGGCCAAATTTTAAACAAAAAGGGTCTACTGCAGAGCACAGGGAATTATATTCAACACCTCGTAATGGCCTACAATGAAAACGAATATGAAAAGGAATATATATATATATATATATATATATATATATATATATATAAAAAACCAAATCCCTTTGCTGTATACCAGAAATTAACACAACATTGCAAACTGACTATACTTCAATAAAATTAAAAATTAGTATTAAAAAAATTTAAAAGAAAGGCTAAATTTAAGAACAGTTGGGGAAGGATATAGCTCAAGTGGTAGAGCTTGTGCTTAGCATGCATGAGATCCTGTTTTCAATCCCCAGTACCTCTTCAAAAAATAATATTAATAATAATAAATAAACCTAATTACATCCCCCAGAAAAAAAAAGAAAAATGATAATTTATTAAAAACCCAAAACACTGATTATACTAATTGTTAGTGAAGAACTTGAAAACTGAAATTCTCACCAACTCCTGAATTGAAATGTAAAATTGTGTAACAGTTTGGAACACAGTCTGACACATTTAACAGCACAAACATCCACCTGCCATCTGACCTAGGCAACTATCTATACGTTTAGATAGTAACTCAAATGAAACATATTTCCATGTAAAGACTTGATATAAATGTCTGTGATAGCTTTATCTGTAATAGTAAAAAATTAGACACAACCTAAAAATTTCAACAAACAGATGAATGGATAAACATATTGTGTTTTCTCCATACAAAAGATATTCAACAATACAAAGAATAAACTGTTCATAAACATAACAATACATTTCAAATAAATATGCAATAGAAGAGAAATCACACAAAAAGGAAGATCTGATTTATATAAAATTCTGGAAAAGGCAAATTAGTCTCTACTGGAAGGAAGTAAATAAATGGTTATCTGTCAAATGAAGACCATGGAAATGAAGGAGAGAGGAATTACCTAAAGGCAGAAGGTAATATTGAGGACAGATATGTTATCTTGTTCGTGATGATGATTTTCTGGTGTGTGTGAGAGAGGAATATAGATATATATTTACATATATTAACACATATATACATCCAATAGAACTTTAATTTTAATGGACACTCTACTCACACAGAGAAGAGACAGAGTAAGAGCAGCCTCCATGGTGAGTGAACATGCCCCAGAGCCGACGCAGAGAAATGATCTACACACATCCCTCCTGCGCTGGTGAAGGACCCTCTTCTCTCCCCGCCAGGAACAGACAGAGTGGTGGGGTTGGCCAGGTGCCATATTATGGGCATACTTAAAGCAGAACAAAGTGCATATCAAGCGCAGAATAGGGGAAGACCCTCCCGGACAATTCCCTGTGCCCACCAGACTGAGAGGGCTCCTATTTCCATGTGAGAAAATTGTATGTCCAGTAGAACTTTAAATGTGTCATTTATTCCATGCTGATTATGCCTCAATAAAACTTTGTGGAATTGGTTCTACATAATTCTACACCTCACATTTCTCTAGGAAACACAGATTAGAAGACCCTGTATTGACTTAACCATCTCTCTCTTCATACGTTGGGAAGACTGGTCCTGATTCAGTGACAGGAAAAAAACTGGCAAAACTAAAGCCATCACTCTTTGAGCCACCAAGAACCAAGCCAACACAAATGGCTCATGTCTGGACTAAAGAATCTGTTTTCTCACCTGTGGAGCAATGCCCTTTGAGTATGGCTATGAGCATCTACAAAATGTTCAGATTACTTGTACTTCAGTCACCTGAGCCATAAGGGACACAGTGCAGACCTCTGGAAGCAACCTCAGAAGGGGGCCTCTTTTCTTTTGTCAGCTGCAGCCTCCCTGACTCCCTGTTGATTACATCTCATTTCTGCACCAACTCGAGATCCCACATGGTCCCTTATAGCCAGTGGCACCTGCCTACCAGATCCAGGACTTCAAGGCACATGGCTCCATGGGGAAGAAGAATCCTTCAAATGTGTTGGAGAAAGGGGAACATCAGCTAGAACAAGGGCCCTAACAGAATGCTCCTACCTGCCCTTGGTATTATTGCCCAACTGTCTGTTCATCAGCATGACCTCTGAGCCCTCAGATGATCCTGGCACACGGACCACAAGGTTAAACCCAAACATCCCTTTGGTCTCTCCCAAGAGGTCTTAGGGAGCAAGATGAACTAGGTCCCAGGGTGGACTGAGCAGTTGTTCCCTGCCATTCTGCTGCACTGGCTGAGGCACAGAGTTAAGAGCCTCAAATATGTGTGCAGCATTTGCTAACTGCTTGGTTCTCTTCCACAGGCTTTATAATTATTAACATACTACAATCCACAGGACACTGTGCAATGGATACTACTATCACTAGTGTAGAGATGGGCAAAATGAGGCCCAGAGGGGTTCAGTCAGGAGCCCCATGTCCCACCGCCCTGTGTCAGTGCCAGGAAGGTGTCACATACCAGCTCCTGAGTCCAGGGGCTCTGTCCCTGGCCCATGGGAGGCCCATCTCCAACAGTCAGAACAACCAACATTCAGGGGTTAGTAACGTGTCCCTAGGAATTGGTCAGTCACTTAAATTCATTATATGTTTCTGAATTAAGCCTATGGGCTCATTTGTAGAATCAACATCAGTAAAATTTTGTGTCTCCACTGAGGAGCATGTTATGCATCCTTCCAGATCCTCCAGAAAGAACGAGATGGCTCTTCCCTGAGGCTCTGCACTGAAGTGGGAAGGGGGAGTGGAGAGAGGAAGAAGAGGAAAAAGAGGAGAATGATGATGGTAGTGACACTATTAGTGACAGCAGTGAGGATCGTAACCACAGACCTGCACAGTCAGAGAGTAACAAGACTCTGTTCTGAGCTCTATTCTTTTTTTTTTAAAGTGTGATCTAAACAAGATTTTTATTAGTGAAGTAAAATAATAGTGAAAGATAGTACAGTTCTGAGAATTGGGAGCAGGCCAATACAAGAGAGGAAAAATGGCCCTGCGCTCTTTTTTAAAGAGAGAGAGAGATGACATGTAACATGTTAGTTACACGTATACAGCAGGATGATTCCCCATTTGTATATAGTGCAAGATGATCCCTATGATAAGTTAACATTCATCACCAGTTACAAATTTTTGTGTGTGATAAGAAATTTTAAGATCTACTTTCCTAGCAATTTCCAAATACACAATATAATATTTTTTAATTAAGCTATAGCTGATATACAGTATTACATAAATTTCAGGTGTATAACCTAATGACTCACAATCGTTAAAGGTTATATTCAAATTATAGTTATTATAAAGTATTGGCTATACTTCCTATGTTGTGCTATATATTCTTGTAGCTTACTTATTTTATACATAGTACTTAGTATCTCTTAATCTCCTATCCTACCCTCCCCTCTTCCTTTTCCCCACTGGTACCCTCTAGTTTGTTCATCTGTGAGTCTCTTTTTTATTATAGTCATTACTGTGTTGGGTTTTTTATTTTTTATTTTTGTGTGCGTGTGTGTGTTGGATTTTTTAGATTCACATATAAGTGGTATCATACAATATATGTCTTTCTCTCTCTGACTTATTTCACTGAACGTAATTCCTCCAAGTCCATCCAAATTGTTGATGGCAAAATTTCACTCTTTTTAATGGCTGAGTAGTATTCCATTATATATACATACCACAGCTTCGGGAAAACATTCATCTGTTGATGGGCATTTAGGTTGCTTCCATATCTTGGCTGTTGTAAATCACGCAGCTGTGAACATTGGGGTGCATTTATGTTTTTGAATTAGTGTTTCTGGGTTTTTTTGGATGAATAATCAGGATGGGAATTACTGTATCATATGGTAGTTCTATTTTCAGTTTTTTGAGGAACCTCGATACTATTTTCCATACTGGCTTCACCAATTTATATTCCCACCAACAGTATACGAGTGTCCCCTTTTCTCTACATCCTCGCCAACATTTGTTATTTGTGGTCTTTTTCACCCTCATACATTTTGAACCCTCATACAGTGCTGGTAAGAATATACAAAATATAACTATTTAAAGCACAAATTAGTATTTCTTCAAAAGCTAAATATTCACCTACCTCATGGCTCAGATATCACACTCTAATTTTTTTACCAAAATCTAAATGAAACAAATTTCCAAAAACAAACAAACAAACAAATCACGTATTTCCATATTAAGAACTCTACACAAATGTTTGCACCAGTTTATTTTCAATAGTTAAAAACCTGGAAATACCCAAAATGTCCATAAACAAGTGAATGGATAAATACTGGTGTATCTAAAGATAAGACTATTGCTCAAAACAAAACAAAAAAAAAGGTGGGATGAGCTACTTGTATAACATCATTGATGACTCTCAAAATAATCACAAAGCATAAAAGAAACCAGAAAAAAAGAAAACATTGTAAGATTCCATCATATAAATTATAGAAAATGAAAAGGTATCTATTATAAGGGAAAGGAAATCAACAGTTACTTGGAGGGCTCTGATTGCCAGGGACAGAGATTATAAAGGACACCAGGGAAATACATGGTGACAGATATGGCCACTACCATGACTACTGATGATGTTTTCACACAGGTCAAAACTTATCAAATACTTCACTTTAAATATGTGCAGTTACAACAAGTAAGTTATATCTAAATAAAGCTTTAAAAACACTTCAAGATAGAAAAAAATCTGTACAGCCCACTTTTTGGGGAAATATACTTGGCAACCCTAAATTGACCAATTTCTGGTCATGCCTTCTGGGGGTCAGTCTTGCTTCAGTGGCAGCAAGTACTGGCCAGTAATAAAGAACATCCCCACTTCAGTCAACAGGGATGCTGGCCAGGTCACAAGAGCCACATCCCTGGACTACTTTCCTGCCTGTGCAGGAATAGCCTTGAGGTGAACATTACAGAGAGGTCACAAGAATCCACAAAACCATACAATTAGTTTCTGACTGTGATGTCAGCTCCACGAGGTAAACCTGCCTGGGAGTTCTGAGACTCGTGTAGACACCGATGCTGCAAATTAGTCATCATCACACAGACGTTTGTGGATGCCCTTTCAGAAGAGGCACCTTCCATTGAGTTTGCTGCTGTCTCCTCTACTCCCAATCCAGGTTATATACCTGCCTCGGTTTCCTCTGGCCCCACAGTCTTAAAATCAGTGACCATCACCCATGGAACTGTGGATGTCAGGGAATGTGTTCTATGCAAGACCCTGAGATTTCCCCTTAAAAATGCCAACATCTCCTGAGATAGTTCATGAAAAAGGGGAAAAACTAATGTTGCTCTAGGAACTTGAGATTGCTACATTTCACCTCTCTTCACAGTGATACCTGAGTCTAAACTCATAGCATCCAGGGTTTAAATGAGGACAAAAAGCCTTGCCCTCTTTCCCAGGAGATCACTGGCACCAACTCAAATTTCGCCAAAACTGGCAAGCCATTTTTTGTCATCAGACTTTCCCTCCTAAGGCAAAGAGGGGTTAAGACCCCCATAAAAACTGTTCACCTTTCATGCCTGTAAAGCCCAAATCTCCTTATGAAACTCCTCTCACAGTAAATTGAACACTCAAAACAAAAAAGGACTCAAACAGTAAAGCATTTGTACTATACAAACCAAAGCAACGTGTGGCACGCAATTTGGGCCAGTAACTTGTAAGCTGGAAAAGTTCATCATGTGAGAACGTATCCCTGAAAACAAGCTGTCCTTTTCAGCTGAATTCACGATGTTCTCTGGGCCAACACTGATTCAGCCTCCTGCACAAGGTAGTCAGAAAGACAGGAACACCAACCCCCACAAACGCGAGACCAGTGGTGAGCTTTCCTGAGTGCACTGGGTGGGGGTGTGGCGGTGACTGATGCACACTGTGGGGACCTGCCAGGTGGCTGAGGTAAAATGGCTTTGGCCACATTAAGTGGCAGTGACATAAATCTGACAAGAGCCACAGATAGGTTAGAAAGTGAAACACAGCCACACACGCTTTCCACATATCTGAAACTGATGCCTGTGGACAACTGCAAGTGTGAGACTGAATTCGGAAGGACAGCTCCTCAGTTTCTTCTAGCATTGTCACACTGAACAAGAAAACTACACATTCCCTTGCACATTTAAGGCCTTTCTACAGTGTAAACTCTACTGTGTATAATTATTATTGAGGTGAACTCTTTAGGGAAGAATTTCCCAAATTCCTAGCACTAAAGAGGCTGTCTCTTGTGAATTCTCTGATGAGAACAAGGGGTGGTGCTAGAGGTAAAGACTTTCCCACACACATCACACACTTAAGGCCTTTTATCTCTCTGAATGCTGATGCTGAGAGTGCAGAGCTTTTGGGAAAAGATTTTCTACATTCACTACACTCACGTGGCCTCTATCCTGTGTGAACTCTGATGATAATGGAAACCAGACCTAGACGAAAAAGATTTCCCACATTCACTGCATTTATAAGGCTTTTCTCCAGTGTGAACTCTCCAGTGTTCAAAGAGGTAAGAATTTCTTCTAAAGGATTTCCCACATTCAGTGCATTCATAAGACCTTTTGCTTGCGTGAATTCTCTGATGTTCACAGAGAATGGAACTATAGCGAAAAGATTTCCCACATTCACTGCACTCATAAGGCCTTTCTCTTGTGTGAATTCTCCCATGTCTAATGAGTGCTGACCCATGGTTAAAAGATTTCCTACATTCCTTACACTCATAAGGTCTTGATGCTACGTGAACTCTCAGATGATGACTGAGGTTGGAACTAGAGGAAAAAGACTTCCCACATTCACTTCATTTATAAGGTCTTTCTCCTGTGTGAACTCTCTGGTGTATAAGAAGTTGACACCATTGGATAAAGGATTTCCCACATTCATTGCACTCATAAGGCCTTTCTCCTATGTGAACTCTCTGATGATTACTGAGGTGGGAACTGGCAAAAAAAGATTTCCCACATTCACTGCACTGATAAGGTCTTTCTCCTGTATGAACTCTGTGATGATGACTGAGATGGGAACCAGAGCAAAAACATTTCCCACATACAGTGCACTCATAAGGCCTAGCTCCAGCATGAGTCTTCTGATGATAACACAGGGCAGAGTTGGAGGTAAAAGATTTTCCACACTCATTGCACTCATAAGGCCTTTCTCCTGTGTGAACACTCTGGTGGTAATGGAGGTTGGAAACAGAGGTAAAAGATTTCCCACATTCACAACACTGATAAGGCCTCAATCCATTGTGAACTCTCCAATGGTAACGGAGGCCAGAGCGAGAGGTAAAAGATTTCCCACATTCACTACATGCATAAGGCCTTGATCCACTATGAACTTTCCAGTGTTGAGTGAGGTAAGACTGAAGACTAAAGGATTTCCCACATTCAGTGCACTCAAAAGGCCTTTTTCCTGTGTGAACTTTCTGGTGCAGAATGAATACTGAGCTACTGATAAAAGATTTCCCACATTCACTGCACTGAAAAGGCCTTTTCCCCTTATGTACTCTCTGATGTAGGATGAGCACTGAGCTATTGGTAAAAGATTTCCCACAGTCACTGCATTCATAATGCCTTTTTCCTGTGTGAACTCTCCAGTGTACAATGAGATAAAATTTTTGTCTAAAAGATTTCCCACACTGAGTACATTCATAACGGCTTTCTCCATTGTGAAGTATCCACTGCCGAATTAGAACAGATCTACGGCTAAAGGATTGTGCACATTCACTGCACAAGTAACAATTTTCTCCAATGTGACTTCTCCAGGGATAAATGAGAACAAACTTTTGGTTAAAGGACTTCCCACATTTGCTGCACTTGTACCGCATTGCTCCAGTATGATTTCTTTGATGCAGACTGAGGCTTGAGGTTTGCCTCAAAGATCTGCCACTTTTGCCATACATATGAAGCCTTTCTCTAGTGTGAGCTCTCTGGTGCAAAACAAATGAGGATTTGGACCTAAATGCTTTCCCACATTCACTGCACACAAAACACTGTCTTCCAGTGTGGACACCCTGGTCCTGAACAAGTATGTGTTTGGGGCTGAAAGACTTCTTGTACTCTCCCCCATTATGATGAGTTTTTCTGCTTTGTAAAGTTGCCTCACATAGGGCAATCTTGTTTGGCTTCTCCCTGGTGTGAGTGACCTGCTGCTGGAGATGTTCCAAGGTGGCCAGGAAGTCCTTCTCAACTTCCTCACAGGTAAAGGGCTTCCCTGACCCAAGGAATTTGCAGCTCTTTACAAACAAGGCTGTGTCTACACCACTTCTGAAAAATTTCTCTTCCATATTCTGGTGTTTTGGGACGTTTGCACTGAAATAAAATTGTTTCAACCACACCCAATACCCAAACACTTTCTGGCTGTGTTGAGTTTCTTCATACTCAGCCAAGTGAAAAATACCTCTCAAGACCAGACTACACTTCTCACAGGGGTGGCTCTTCTGGGAAGACTGATTTGCCTTGGGAGTCTTGGCCGGTGACATGTCTATAGAAACGCTTGATTGAAAGGGTGACTCTGTGTTCTCTGTCGCACAGCAGCAACCTGAACACAAATAAATGATGGTGAAATACACATTGACATTATAGGGAGGGGGTAACTTCCTCAAAAATGTGATATGTCCCATCTAGGAATGGGTCTATGGGATGCTTTTTTAGAGAAGAGAGTTGCAATTCCATTTGGGAAGTGGCTACTGGCATTACTGGGTCTCTAAGGCAAAAGAACGGTGGAGATGTTATTAAAGGAAGGAGACAAGATATGGTGCAACACAAAGAAGAGAGGCATATTCTGAAACTTACTGGTCTGCCAAAGAATTCCTGCAGAACCTATTCTGTTGGTGACATGAGGCTGTAATGAAGCATATGAACAAACCCAGGACAAACCGATTTCAATAGAATAGTTGCTGTTTAAGGCCAATTTAAGGATGTGTGGACACCTCATAGCACATGTGGACCAATGCCACAGTGCGAGAGGAGGAGCCATAGAGAAATGGGTGAGATATGAAGTCCAGAAAGGTGGGGCTTATCCTTGGGCTGTAAGTCAGTCAATATCACAAGGTAGTAAAACCGACTAGTCAGCAAAGTATCAGCAATGGGGGAAAGAAAAGCAAAAATGGGTCAAGGTGCTGGCAATGACAGCAAAATACTGGCTAAATGACAAACATTCATGGTATGATCTGAGCACAGTCCTGATGTCACACTCTCCCCAGCTTCACCAGGGCCAGGTACCTGTGAGTTCACCTTGTAGCCTTAGCTACTGAGAATCTGTACAATCTTTGGTGCCCCTGGACTGAGCTGCATTGCGATGACATGGCTGGACCTCCCCAGAGCCCAAACCATCACATCCCACCTAGTCAGTGAACTTGCAACCAACCCAAGGAGAGTCCTTCCCCACCAAAACCAGTGCATAAAGTCTGGAAGAGGTGACTGCTTCATCAAATGTGAAAAGATCAATGAACAGCTATAAGACACATGAAAAATCAAGGAAATATGACATCTCAAAAAGAGCCTAAGTTTCCAGCAAGTGAACTCAAAGAAATGCAGATCTGCAAACTACCAAAGAATTCAAAATAACTGCTTTTAGGAAGCTCAGCCAGCTCCAAGAGAACACAGATAGATAATGCAATGAAACCAAGAAAATAATGCAGAACAAAACAGTTCTGAGATAGGGGAAAAAAATTAAATTCTGGACCTGAAGAACACAATGAATGAAATAAAAAATGCAATAGAGAACACCAACAGCCAACTTGATCAAGGAGGGGAAAAATCTGACCTTGAATCAGAGGAGAAAAATGACTGAAGAAAGCCCATGTCAATTATGGGATACCATCAAGGGAAATGATATTCACATTGTGGGAAGACCACAAGGAGAAATGAGGGAGAAAGGAGCAGAAAACTTACTTAAATAAATAATGGCTGAAAAGACAAATCAAGATAGAGATGTGGATAAGACAAGATACAAT